CGAGTTATATAACAACACTAGATCTCCGGGTTTGAAGTTTCGATCCAAGATGTGCTTATCATGTATTAATTTCATCCTTTCTTTATATAATATAACACTCTCAAAGGCCTGGAACTTGAATTCCTCGAGCTCATGTAATCCAGTGATTCTGTTAGTACCTGCTGTCTCCATGTCTAAGTTTAACTGCCGCAATGCCCAAAGTGCTTTATGCTCTAGCTCAACTGGGAGGTGGCATGCCTTGCCAAACACCAACTTGTACGGTGACATACCAATTGGGGTTTTGAAGGTTGTGCGGTATGCCCACAATGCGTCATCCAATTTCTTTGCCCAGTCAGTCCTTGTTGCATTCACTGTTTTTGTGAGGACACTTTTAGTCTCCCTATTGGACACTTCAACTTGCCCGCTCGATTGTGGGTGGTACGGGGTGGTCACTTTATGACAAACTCCATATTTTTCCAACAGCCGTGCGAATGCTCTATTGCAGAAATGGGTTCCGCTATTACTGTGTATAGCTTTTGGGGTACCAAAATGTGTGAAAATGTTCTTTTTTAGAAAGCCTAGTACCCCTTTAGCATCATTGGTCGGAAGAGCCACTACTTCAACCCACTTGGAGACATAGTCAACTGCTACCAATATGTACTTGTTACCATACGAGCTGACGAATGGCCCCATGAAGTCAATCCCCCACATGTCAAAAATCTCCACCTCTTGAATTATGGTCATTGGCATCTCGTGTCTACAAGATATGTTGCCAGTTCTTTGGCATTCATCGCAGCTTTTAACCCAAGCATGGGCATCCTTGAACATAGTAGGCTAGTACAAGCCTGACTCCAACACCTTAGCTGTTGTCCGAATTCCTCCAAAGTTTCCACCATATGGTGAAGCATGGCAAGCCTGTAAAACAAAATGTTGATTTTTCTCGGGGATACACCGCCAGATCATGTTATCTACACATATTTTAAACAACAGAGGTTTATGCCAATAATAATACCGACAATCACGAAAGAACTTTTTCTTCTGTATTGAGGAGAGTTCATAAGGTACAATACCACTTGCTAAATAATTAGCAATATCAGCATACCATGGTGCCTCCTCCATTGTCATTGCCAGTAACTGTTCATCCGGGAATGTATCTATTATATCCTCCACCTCTACCTTCCTTTCAGCTCCTTCCAACCTTGAGAGGTGGTTAGCTACTTGGTTTTCTGTCCCTTTTCGGTCACGTATTTCCAGATCGAATTCTTGTAACAGAAGAACCCAGCGAATCAAGTGTGGCTTTGAATCCTTCTTTTCTATCAGGTACCTAATTGCTGCATGGTCAGTGTAAATAATAACTTTCGATCCAATCAAGTATGACCTAAATTTGTCGAATGCAAAAACAACAGCCAACATTTCCTTTTCCGTCACGGTGCAATTGAGTTGTGCACTGCTTAGCGTTCTGCTTGTATAGTAAATCGGGTGCATCAGTTTATCCTTTCGCTGCCACAAAACTGCTCTTATGGCATAGTCACTTACGTCGCACATGAGCTCAAATGGCTGCTCCTAGTTGGGTGCAACAATGATGGGTGCAGTCACCAATCGCTTCTTCAGCTCCTTAAATGCCAACCTGCATTCATTAGAAAACACAAAGGGGTGATCCTTTTTAAGGAGTTTGCATAATGGGTTAGCAATTTTGGAGAAATCATTTATGAATCGCCTGTACAACCCGACGTGCCCAAGGAAACTTCTCACCGCCTTGACTGAAGTGGGCGGTGGTAGTTTTTCAATCACCTCAACCTTAGCATGGTCGACCTCAATTCCTTTATTGGACACTTGATGCCCCAGGACTATCCCTTCATGTACCATAAAATGGCACTTCTCTCAGTTCAACACTAAATTTGTCTCCACACATCTTTGAGCACTCTTCTTAAGTTGTGAAGACAGTCCTCGAATGAATCTCCCACCACAGAGAAATCATCCATAAAGACCTCCATAATATCATCCACCATGTCTGTGAAAATGGCTAACATGCACCGTTGAAATATTGCTGGTGCATTGCAAAGCCCAAAATGCATTCTCTGAAAGGCGAAGATGCCATAAAGACAAGTGAATGATGTTTTCTCTCTATCTTCGGAGGCTATTGATATCTGATAGTACCCCGAATATCCATCCAAGAAACAGAAGTGCGATCGCCCGGCCAGCCTGTCCAACATTTGGTCAATGAAAGGCAAGGGGAAGTGATCCTTCCGAGTGGCTATGTTCAATTTTCGGTAATCCATGCAAATCCGCCATCCCGTGACTGTACGAGTTGAGATCAACTCATTGTTCTCATTTTGCACAACAGTCATTCCCCTTTTTTCGGCACACATTGGACAGGGCTGACCCAATTGCTATCAGAGATGGGGAAGATGATTCCCGCATCTAACAATTTGATCACTTCCTTCTTTACTACCTATTTCATGTTCGGGTTCAGCCTTCGTTGATGTTCTCTGGAAGGTTTGTGCCCTTCTTCCAAGAGAATCTTGTGCATATAGAAGGCTAGGCTGATACCCTTTATGTCTGCCATGGTCCAGCCAATGGCAGTCTTACTTTCCTGTAGTACTTGTAAGATTTGTTCTACCTGCACATCTAGCAAACCGGATGATATAATAACAGGCAAAGTAGAATCAAGGCCT